TGCCATCTTTCATTTACTTCCAGACCAAATGGCCCAACCAAGGTTATATTCCAAAATTAATTCTAATTATGCTTCTGGGAGCACAGTGAGTATCAGCAGAATATCCATTCTGCCTTGCAAGTTAATGATAAATTCCCATCCCTTTCTTAACTTTTAAGAACTCAATTTAGCCCTTGAACACTTCCAGGTCACATGAATTTGAGATATGAATTAAATTTTAAATCTGTAGTACTTCTTCCTGGACAACTATGGATAGTGTGACAAGAGCTGAACAAGACTAATGAGACTAAGAGAATAAAGCCAGCTCAGTCTAATTCACTGAGGGCAACTGGAGGCAACTGCAGAAAGCTCTCTTTGCAATGGAAGCAACAGTAAAAGTGATTCCACAAATGCACGTGTGTAAATTTATATTCAGCACTCCTCCACCACCAAAACAAACACATCTGTATCTTTTCTTGATATTTACGTCTGGTTTTTGTAGGGCTACCAAAGAAACGCAGAGCCAGGGCCGAGCAGAAGTTGTGAGCGCTGTGCTCTGAGCCACGTCAGGCTTGTATTACCCGAAACAAATACTGGTCAAAGTGGAGCTAACGCTCAGACATTTGCTGTAAAGTGTAGCAGCCCTTCCACCTGCCAGCGCCGGCCACAGAAGATCCAGCCTAGTTAGCATATTACTGACAGGCTGATGGGAAAGCTGCTGTCAGACACTGGCCAGCCGGGGCTGCAGACGAGCACACAGCCCCAGCTGACTAGTTAGGCAGAGACTGCAGAGGTACAATTACAGAGGCATATGACAAGCTTTCATGCTCGAGTGACTTGAGAACCGATGACATGGCTTTAAACAGCAATCCTTCCTACCTCCGGTCACAAAACAGCAATAAGTCAACTGATGCACTGTTGTAAAATCATGATTTATTCCTTTGCTTTGAATACATGAGAGTGTGGTATGATGTTCTGGTAGACTACCACAGCAGGTGCACTTGGGGCCAAAACATCTAGGGCCTGCCTCCAGCATGCATAAAATCAATGCTGTAGCTCAGCCTTCCTGGAAAAGCCAACCCCAGCACTTTAATAATTTATAGAAAGACTGAATTAAAAAATTATTTGTGCTGAAACTCATACAGCTCCATGCAAATAATAAGAATACATGCAGATGCAGTGGCGTGTGAGGAACCAGTGCTGTGAAAGAACATACAGCCTGACATTTAGGAAAGGTCTTTCTTTTGCTGCTAAAGTGAAATAACTAACAGCCACCTCTGTGAATAGATCGATCCCTTTGTTTGATTCATCCTTTCACTTAATCCAAAGCCACATAATTTGTTTCTCTTTCATAGTTTACTGTTCAAAAGCCAGAAATGGTAATTTTTGCTACAAACATCTTACAGAGCATAATCCTCAGGCTAGCTGAATCCATCTCACTCTACTGCTAGGCCTGAAGCAAGCTGTGAGGTTGGTGGTAATCACATTATTAAAGTGGTTGGAAAGTCAAGCTAATAAAAGTATCAACAGTTAGGGCAAATAATGACCCAGAAGCTACAACAGAATGGAGTGGTGGGAAGTTTCCACTTGGATCTTGGTAGTTATTGGAAGGATTAGCAGACAAATATCTACACCAAAGGAATTTTTAAAGGAGATAAACCCACCGAAAATCAATTTACAGGAAGATGCAAAGAAAGCCCAACAACTGCAAAATTCTGAAGATGAACAAAAAACAAAGCCTGCTTGGCTGAAACAAAATCTAAGCTGAAACATCCTCAAGACGGTTCTTTGTTTTTCTTTTGTTTTTTAGTTGGTTTTGGTTTTTTTTAATTAAAAAACTCTACTCAGCAACTTAAAATAAGCAACCTTCTTTTCTTTTCTTTTTTTTTCCTCTACAGTACACCCTTTTAAATAGAGCATCATTTTTTGCCCCCTTTTTTTCATACTAGGACTGATACTTTGCTTGAATATAATGAGAGTATAAAATTAATAGGGCAGAAGTGGTGGACAAAGAATTCCTGAACATAAGTAAGTGCAGTTTTCCATTCCTGGCCCCCACAAGAAGGGTGAGGAGAAAGTGAGCAAGGCCTTGAATTATGCCTTTTGTTATCAGTCACTGCCCTGAGATAGTGAACCAAAACAGAGCTGATAACTTGAAGGTGACATCACAACCCAGTCTTCATGAACTGACACAAACACTTGATATTCAGTTAACCCCAAAGATAAGACACAACTCCCTTAACAGAAAGTTGTGCTTGACTGCACTATCTTTGAGCAAATATTTTTTGGTATCAAGTTGTAATTTAGGAATATGAAAACAGGAACTTTGTAACTGCTGTTTTGTATGCAATAATAAAACAGCCCAGGTTTGCAAAGGTTGCAAAGGTTGATGTCCAAACACACTCCATTTGCTTACTGTATTACATCAAGCAATCCCCACGTTAACGAAGAAATATCTTTTGCCAAAATACATTTAATCATTCTTGGCAATTCAATTAAATTCCTATAGGCAATACTGGAAAGTGTTTCATTACCTTTTTAAACTATATTGCTCTGTAAAGAAGCAAGCCATGCATTACCCCTGTTCTGTTCATGAAAGAGATGAACAAGCAGCATTTCTGTCAACTGAAGCTCTTAATAGGCCAGGTATACACTTCTGTTTCATCAGAACTCACTAGGGCAAGTGAAAATTAACCAATCCAAATATTAACCTATCAAAAGTGGATCCATCATGATGTGACAGTCTTAGCTATGACTTAAGTAATGCTAGTAGACTGAATAAGCAACTGGAAAAAAAGTGAAGATGATGGGCTCTCTCATTTTGGATTTGACCTGGAAGCTATTATTTATATTCAGAGCTTGGGGACACTCTCCAGGACCAAACACCACTACAAATGTCTGGAAAGTGACAAATTATTTTCAAGACACTATCAAGATGGCCATTAATTCATTAAAAGGTTAGGAATAAACAGCCAAAGTGTAAACAAAGTGGAAGTTTCTCACAACCAGAATATTCTATCTGTTGTCATGTAATGACTTGTAAGAGAAGTCTGATCATTTCAGTAAGGTGGTCTAGATCAGCACAGTCTAATTCTGGTACTTCCTCTTCTCTTGTCACATCTTAGCAATAGAGACCAGCCGAGATGTTCAGCCTAACAAAAACAAGTCCTAAGCAGATCAAAATGTAGGCTGAGAGTACAATTCCAAATCGTGTCAAGCAGACAGACACGTGCTCACCTGCAGAATGAATCTTCCACGGGCTCAGAGCTGCCATCACCATTCCTATCTCCTCTCTACTGGAGCAGTAAAACAGAGCTGACTGGGGCATCATTGGAGCTGAGTTTTTTTAATGGTGTATTTCTCTTTTTTTCTTCCCTTTATTTTTTTCCCCTTTAAATATAGCAAGCTGTGTTTCAGACTGGCAAAGTGAAAAAATATTCTGATTCCACAATTTTGCTACATCATGGGAGCTTTTGCTAAGACAGGTTCTTTGAAAGGGCTTTCCCTTCAAAATCTTTTTGCCCATTCAGGTCTTATTACTATGTTGCAATGCACAATTCTTTCCCTATCCATTTCAGGAAGGGGAAGGGAGCATGGAGGGGAGAAAAAAAAACGTAATAAAATACAGAAATTTCCTAAGAAAAAGTAACATCTTTGGTGGTTAAAAAAAAAAAAAAATCTATCATAGACTAGTAATGTGAAGATTGCCTAAATTAATTTAGTATTTCTTTTGTTGGTTTTTAGTTGTTCATGTGGCCTCTGCTTAGATGACCCCACGTGTGCTTCACTCCAGTTCCCAGGACTGACTTAGCTGCACACCCTGCAGAGCACTGGGAAGGTGCTGCCTTTGTGCACTGCCCTGACTGCAGGGCTGGTCACACACCCAGGGACCCAACACCACGCTGTTTTAAAAAATAATAAGGCAATTAAATAATTGCTACTGCACCTAGAATTGTTTACAGCAATTCTGAACCTTCTCTATCTTCAATTTATTTTTGACTCAAAAAAATGGAAAGGACTTTTAGCCACTTTAATCAAAGAATTCTCACTCCTTACAGCACCTGCAAGCCTTTGAAAATAGTAATTTTTAGTACTATATCCAACCTTTTACCCATATGTTCATTTATTTGGTAGTGCAATTAGTAGTGCTCAGAAATACAGAATTATTTTCCACCATAGAGAGTATATTAAACTAAATGTTTTACACAGCATTCTTCAAAACAATTTAGGTCACAGTGCTTAATAGGTTAAAGATTCTGTGTAAGAATTACACTCTCTGATTAAAACTTGGTTATAAAGTCACAGTCTTGTACTGATGCAAAATTGACTTGGGAGTATTTTCCAAATATAAAGGATTTTTAAAATCTGTAAGATTCTGTGAAGAGTAAAATAAAATGCATCTGAATATTTAGGTATACTTTCCAAACGAAATGCAATATTCTTTTACTAAGCAACCTAAGCAGGCATAAGGAGGCAAAAGAAACATTTTATTGTGGGCAGTAGCTCAAAACCTTTAATTAAAAACCTGCTATTTTAGGTTGTACATTATTGACAGTCTGAAGAGCTACTCCAAATCAGAGATATTACAGTGTGCACTCCCAAACCACTCTAACAAAGATGAATCTACCTATTACCAGGTTAGGATAGCAGCTATTATTAGGGACCCTTGATTTCTTTCAAGTAGCTCCAATGGAATAAGCCACAAGTGAATAATAAAGATCTTATAATAGCTCTTAAGAATTCTTTTTAGGTTAGAAGGCACAGAAATGAACTCAGGAGAGTTAAAGAACTCTCATCTCCTGATAAGAAAAATAATTAACCTGACTTAATGTATCTGAGTAGGTCTTACATAAATCAGACTTTTGTACTTCAAGAGCCAGACTAAAACCATATATTAGAAGAGTATGTAGATATTGTCTTATAAGTACACATGGAACATATCTAAAACCACAAAGGTCTGCAGGTCATTTTGTGAAATGTTCAATATATCCTACTTAAAAGGAGATGTGTGAAGTACTTACAGTGCTTAGCTTGCTGGAGGTAATAATGATTCGTCTCTCATGCAACATACTGGCATAAAGTTGCAGCATGTTGTTCACATCCACAGCAACAAAATATTCAGTGAGGTTTCTCTGTTTAAATAAAAAAAAGTTAACAAAATAGCAACAGTAGTAGCTAACTGCAACTTTTGATATACATTACTTGTGAACATATTTGTCTAATTAGCAGGTGAGAAAAAAATAACCCCAAACTATTTTGCACCAGAATTTGTGTGCTTTAAAAAAAATTAATTAGGTTTTAAAGCAAACAAAAAGTTAACTGTGGACTAAGTTATTAATATTTTGGTTATTTCATTATGCTTGTGACTTAGATTTGTCTTTTTGTATTTTCAAATTCAGAAAAATACGAGATGGGGTACAGATCTTCCACCACGGTGATAACTGTTCTGTCCCAGCTACAGCAATAAAACTGCTACTTTGCCAGGGTCTCCAAAAGTCAACACATTTTATTCCATTTCTAGTACAGTAAAACAGCTTGTTGAACAACACCAAGCTTTAGCTTGAGCTCTATGTGCCAGGACATCAAACATCCTGCAGAACTGGTGGAAGGTACTGGGTTCTTCCTGCAGCCACCCTTTTCACCCCTGCTAAGAATCCCACCGTGGGGTTTAACCAGAGGCAAAGTCACCACCACCTCCCATTAATAGTTCAGACATCAGAAAAGTGGGGGAAAAAGAGAAAAAGAGTGGGGGGATCTCTGTGTTCCAGCTGAATGTAACAGATATTGCTGCAGGGCACAGAGCCAGAGACACACAAGTTCTGAATAAGCCAAAATAGCTACCAGCAAAATTGCCTGGGAAAACAGAAAATTTCTGTAAACACTGGAGAACATGTATGAAAATATACTAATACAGCCTTCAATATGCAAAATATTTAATTTCACACATTAATTATCATATCTGCAACCAGAACTGCTATTCATCTCTTCTCAGGGACAACACTGTTACTGAACGTCCATGCAGGAGGTCTATCAAGGATAGGCCCCAGCAGGACAGACACAACAGTGCAATTGTACACTAACATTCTATGCTGGATGTGACCAACACACAGCAGCAAGGTCACCCAGCCACGAGAAAACAGCCAGGGCAAGATGAGTAGGAAAAGCTTCAGAGTGGGGACACTTCCTTTTTGGATATAGTGCAACATTAAACAAAAAAAATTGAAAAGACAAACAAAGGTCCAGTGGTCAATCCAGTTTCATGCAAATTCATAAACCCATTATCGACTTCAAGATATGGAGTATTGAGAGTTATTCTTGGTCCATGCTGCATAGAATTTTGGAAGAGACAAAAACCAGAGATTTAGGGCTACAAATACTCAGTTTTAGGAAAAAAATCGTGGTCTTTCAAAATTCTAAAGGGTTGTCAGAGGCTGATGCACCATGGGAATCTCAGTCCATTTTACCTTGGACACCATCTAACACTGTACTTGATAATGGTGTGCTGATTCTGTGTGGGAAAAGCTGTGTCAAGAAACAGTTCACAATCTTGTGCAGACCAATTTATCTTTGAGAGACAGTCACTGTTATTTCTTTGTTATAGTTGAAAAGTTACTGCCCCTGAAATATGTGAACTTTACAACAAAAGGTAAAAACATTCGTTTTGTTGTTAATTTACTGTAATTACTTCATCTCTTCACTCCTTGCATGTTCTAACTCTCCATTAGTACCTTACTATTTTGATTCATACCGAAAGGATGAGACTGTTATTAATGGAGTAAAAAATAATTACAGAAAGGCACCTTACAATTATTTCACCTTTCTCAAAAAGAAAAAATAAATCTACATTGGCACCATTGCAGATCCTTTGACAGTCACAGGTCCAGCTAATAAATGCTTTCCTTTATTTTCTTCAATTTAAGCCCGTAACACACCTTCTAGCCTCCAAAACTATACTTTATTAGAACACCAATTAATAAATTAAGAGATTCCTTAAAAATAGAGGCATTCAAAATGTAAGATCAAACAGACGTTTACATCTGTTTATATTTTTAAATACACATTTAAAAACCAAGCCCTGTCCTGCCCAATGAGCCCTAACAAGTGTCCTCTCTTGTATCCTTCCATCCAGCAACTTCCCGTGGTTTCTGGAGTTGCAACATGGTCCATGCCACCTGCTCAGAGTCCTTCCCACCACACAGATGTACCCTCAGGCTCCTCTCTGCTACCAGCACCCTCCTGGCTCCTCTCCACCAGTGCTTCCAGCTCTGTGTCCTTCCCTGGCCCATCCCATCCTGCATCCCTGCTGCCCCAACATCAGCACCCACCAGGAACAAGCTCTGGGGCACTTGGCAGCCCCCACAGTTTAACTTCCAGAAGGAAGGCACTGTTTGAAAGTGTAAAAACACACACCTATACAGCCATACACAATTCCAGATTTAGAGGCTGGAGGGGGAAAAAGGACCCTTCAAAGCTCTCTTATGAGATGCTATCTAGCTAAACACGTCACAGAGAACGTGATCCGAGATTTCCCATTTGCAATTTACTCACAGCACAATCCACAATTTAGCATCTACAGAATGCAAGTCTTCATAAAGAAAAATTTAAAAACCATAACCAAAAAAAAAAGCCCTAAATCCCCTTTTCCTGGTGCCTGGATAGCATCCAAGTGTAGGCAGGTACAGCATGTTTTCAAAAAGCCTGAAACAATGTCTTCTTGCACAAAAAATTACTGTGTATCTTGATGGCTGAATTTGCAGCTTAGCAATGCAGTGTTTAATGGGCAAGTATTCAAATAAAACCCGAGGTGCAGAAGTAGAATATATCAGTAATCCTAGTAAATGAAAAGAAGCCAAGTAACTATGAGCAAAGGGTGGATATAACAGTGGTCAGAAATGCCCTATTAATGCTTTAAAATGGCTTAATGAATGCAACAGTAACTACCAGCTAGAGGTTGCAATAACAGACATCAATCATTTCTAAAAATAGTCTTAGAAAAAAAAAAATCTCCTCTTGATAAAAGCAAAAGTTCAGCCTAGCCCAGAATGAGGTTAAATAAGAAATGCAATACTTACACTTTCAGGGATAGTTGGCAATCCAGTTACATCAGGAGTAATGAAATACGAGTGCTAATCGATGGGGAAAAAAATAATTGATAATTTATGCACACAGGAAAATAAAATTTTTTCCATAAGAACCCAGCATTTAGGATTTCCAACCCCATCTGTGTTTAAGCAAATAGCCATTTTTCTAGTAATATTCTTACTGCTGCTAGACAAAGAATTAAGCAGATCACGACACGAAATGACAAGCTCTGATTCTGCACAGCACAAAACCAAGTGAACAAAAAGCTGGGCTGCAGTTTTGAAATAACACTGAAATTAAGCCAGCTTTAAATGTTGTCATGAGCCTGAGCAGCATTGATTAAATTAAGTATTGAATTAAAAATTGCAACAAAAAAATGCTAAAGGACAAAATGTAAATTTAGAATGGAAAAGAAAAACCAGTCACATGAGAAAAATATTTAGAATAGAAATATTATTACTTGATATAAATTCTCTTTCCAAACATCTTTGAATCAGAAATGTGGTAACAGAAATGCAAGATCTGAAGCCTGAGATCCTGCAATCATTTATGAAATATATTAACAATTTTATGCATCTTAGTTTGAGGCCATCTAGGATGTAAATAAAAAATGGATTAAACTAAAACCAGATGTAATGTAAATTAACTCTCATTAATCCAATGCTCCTACTAGTTATGAGATATGGATTTAGCTCGGTAATTTCAAGACATTTTTGTATGTTAGCCTAAATTTTGAAGGAGGAAAATAATGAATGCATGTTAGGTAAATAAGATAATTATTGATTTGTTTTGTTTTTGTTTTTTACAGCATTTTGATGTTTTTTCAGATGTTTTGTTTTTATGGTATATTTTTACAATTATAAATAGCAACACAAAGACATAGCTTGTTCTAAAGTCAAACTTGAGAAAGATATACCAAAACAAAGTCTACAAGACTTAAATGTGTCTTGCATTCAAGAAAAAAAAATTAATACCATTAAATCTGCGTAGGAGACTTATTAAACCAGCTTGATACATTTAATAGAAAAATTTCCCCACAAATTAGGTCATTTGGCAATAGTTAGAATTTAAGGAAAAAAATTGCTTTAAAAAGGCATCCCATAAACATCATACCACTTGCACAATAAATATCACAGGTATTGTTTCACATGAACACAGGAAAAAAATATTTTTTTCTCTGCTCAAGAAGAGGAAAATATTCAGATTAGATTCAGATAGAATGCCTGCATTCTTCAGAAGTATACTGAGAACAGAAAATTATTCCCTATATGTAACAAGGTCACAGAATATTTATCAAAAGATTTCTGAGTAATGAAGTTATTAACTTAGAGAAGTAATTATTTCTAATTAACAAAGTAATAATATTTCACTCATTAAACAGAAAAGGAAGCCAGAACTATGAGAAGCAAAAGCCATTACTGCAGTAATTAGAAGTCATAAAGTAGCAAAAATACTGTGGTATGGAGTCCTTGCACATCTTTGTGAACTCCCTTAGGAAGATGAACGACCTTGGAAGAGATGCTAAATTAATAGTTTCTGTCCTGTATAAAGTTTTCTCTAAAAAGGACACTGGAAAATACAGGTTTTGCTCATCAGTTCAAGGGTTTGATTTTCGTAGCAGTTTTTACAAAAGGATTATGACACACACAGACATAGCTCTGAAGGTGGATTTAAACAGAAAAGGTACATTAATATTAGACAATTCTTTTAGGCCAAAGAGAGCAGCAGATTTCCCCAAAGGACAGGTATAAATAAGCCTCAAATCAACAGAGATGTCTTATAGCAAGTGATTATTTCTTTAATTATGATAGATTTTAGATAGTCAGTGCCTTTTAAACTCACCGATACAAGACAAGGCTGTTTTTTCAAAACTTGCTCACTTGCAAAAATCATCTCTTGGTTCTTATGCAAGATGAGAGAAAGATTGAACAGTTGACTTTTGAGTTTTCCAACAAGAAAGGCCAAAGCTGGCTCTACTGATTGTAACATTCCATGTTTAAAATACTGGCTGAAACTAAGTTTTATTCCTCCCCCATCTGAATTCAGGCTTAGCTACTCTTCCCAATAACGATAACATTAAAAAAAATTAAAACAAACAAACAAAAAAAGTGACCTAAATTATTTTTAAGCTCAGGTTTCATAGAACAAATGACCACCTCATAAATTTCAGCTGCAGAGTATTACAAGTAAGAGTAGAACTTGGTCCCTAACTGGACAAATGCATTTTTGTATCTCCTAACCAAAGACTGCTAGGAAACACCACATATCCAAATATTGGGTGTAATTTATGCATGGTTATGTACACACAACCCTAAGGACCACTGTGGTCTGCCACCCAAACATGGTGCATCCATGAGCCTTCACCCTGCAGCACACCTGAGTGAACGAAATGTGAATCAGACTGATCCTGGAACAAGGAAAAGCCACCTCAGGATGTCATTTCTACAATTATTTTTTAGACTGTAATTTAAAGTCTATTACTACTGATGGTTCCAGTGTAGCTTTTTTACAATATCTGAGGACCAAGAAACAAACATCAATACAAAAGACCAGAACTGAAACTGGCTATAAATATTTCCCTGCTCCCTGCAGCATTACAAAAACAGAGATGCCTTTAGATCCAACAAGGATCAGGACTCCAGCTGACCCATTCCTCCCTGCTCTGCTCTATCTGAACCCACAATATTTGCTCAACTCTCCCTGCAGCCAAGCATTTGGCAAGAGGTTTGCATTTCAATAGCCATTGTTCAGCAAGAAAGATTACAAAACTTTTTTGATATAACTGGGAACGAGGCATAATTGAGAAAAAACAATTCCAAAGTCAGACAACATTGAAATAAAACCAACAAGTATTGACTTTATAGCAAGCAATCTGTCATTCCAGTGTAGCCAGCTGAATTCACCAGGACAGCCATGTCCACGTTCCCCACAACATTCATTTGGAGGTGGGCAAGTTATGGACAAGATGAACTTTGTGAGAAATACACAGGAAAATATATTTAAAACTTCTTTATGTCCCTCTGAACCACAAGAGTTTTGAAAAACATTTTATAAAGCATTTTAGAGTTGCCAAATTATAATTGGTTATAATACTACGACTAATGATAGCAAAATATTATTTGAGATAAAGAAGTATTTTTGGCAAAGGTGCTAGGAACTGAAACATTACACTGACAACAGAAAGAAAAAAATGTATCAACAGAAACAATTCCAACTGCAGCCTCAAATCCTGTTCATTGTTCTGGTGAAAAACAACATGCAAGACTGGAAGGAATTTCAAATACAATCAATTAGCACTATACAAGGTGAGAAAATATTAGGTCTCTATAGTCTAGTGAAAAAACAAGGAATCTGAAACATGAAAAATTAAAATAAAATAAAGGCAGAATTATGTTAAGCAGGAAGGATCAGTAACTGCTGGAACAGAAGTGGTAGACTCCATTTTTCCTGCCTTCATAATAGGGCTAGATGCTTTTTTAGAATCTGTGCTTACTTTAAATGAAGTACAGTGGTTATTTCTAAAATACACAGCCTAAAAGTCACAAGAAGCCACACAAATAAGGTCAAGATAAATAATCTAACAATATTTCAGTATGTGTGGAAGCAAAGCCTTTACAAAGTCACTTCTTTCTGTGTCCTGCAACATGTGGTGACTGAACCAGGACGCAGCTATTTGCAGTGTTTGTGGCATGTGCAGAAACTGTACAGGTGCTCTGAACATGCACAATGGCTCGGGGACAGCAGAGGCTCTGTGCTGGCTTTGTATTTCATCCAAGCTCCACAAGGGTGTTTAAGCATGCACCCACAATCTAATTCTGCTTAAAACTTCAGGAACCATAACAACAACAACAACAACAACAACAACAACATATCCGCTTCTTGATGTTTCTGCAGCAACACCATCTTGCCCCACTGTCACCATCCCATCCCACATCACAAAAAGTTGGAGCACAAAACCAAAGGAGGCCTGGATGTTATTTCACTGAGATGTGTTGAAAGTTTCACATAACAGAGTGTACTTCTACTGTTCTTCCTACAGCATTTTTGTATGATTAAGCAAAACTAGGAAAAAGGGGAAGAAAAATAGGAAAACAGCCAGCTTCCACAGACTTTTGACCAATCCTGAAACTGTACCTACTCAGACATAAGAGGCAATAAAACTGAGTTAGTGTCTCCTGATGCACAGCAGGAGAAACCAAAATTGTCTACATGAAACAGCTGGAAGCACAAAAAAGTAGTTCTAGCACTGTCAGATCTCACTGCAGTTTACTTTCTCATCCATAGAGCAAAATTCAAATTTCTGCTTCTTTATGACTACGACTTTCAGAAAACAACATGAGACAGAGACAGACTCTACCCTGCACAGAGTGAAAAAAAAAGATTGTCCAAGCCAGTTAATGATGGGAAGCAACACAAACTTACTCTTTCAAAGGGCTGAGGTTTCTTTTTCTTTCAACTTTACTTACTATTTCATAGTTAGTAGGAATAAAACAGAAAAAATACTTACCACACTTAAACTGACTAAAGCATTCGCCTTTGGCACAGGATGGCTATACAATGATTTCAACAAATCATTTGAGTCATTTTCCTATAGGGAATGCATTTTAAAGGTAATTAATTATCATATAAAAACTAATTACTATTTAGTATACATCAAGCTACATATTGACAAAGAGATATAAATATTTAATAACCAAAACAATTGTAATGCATAATGAAGTATTTAAATACTAAGTTGAAAAGTTCAGGGCAGTTTTGTATCTCATAAAACGATTGTATCTGCAAGTTAAGGCAATCCCTTACATGCTTCCCCACTCACTCCTTAAAGGACTCACATTATTTGCAACTAAAAACTGAGATTCCATGTCTCACTGGTCTGTACATCCTGGACATTATCCTTCTAAAACTGTTAGCCATGATATACATTTATTTAAAATTGTATTAAATGTGTCTGATCAAAACACATAAAACAGTTAATAAGGTCTATTAAAATGTACTTGCAGCTACCTGGTTTAACTGGGATCCATCACTTTGGTCTCTAGAAGGAATATTTGCTTGGGAAAGAGAAGTGATTGGAGCTTTTGTGGGTTTGGGATTTTCATTCAGTTTAGGGGTTTTGTTCATGGAGATTAAATTCTTCAGGTTGCCGAAGTAAAACCAAAAGTATCGGTGACAAGCCAGGGCCAGCTTTTGAACACACTGTTTTGAGTTTACAGGAAGCTTCTGCCTCTCCCTGTAAGAAGAGGATGCTGCTGGACCTCATACAGTGAACAAGGCTCTGGGTGCAGCTCGTGGTCATATGAACAGTGCCTGGGCCAGGAGGCAGCAGTGTCCTCCCACAGCCTCCCCAGCAACAGGTAACAGGAATGGCTGCAGGCAATGCAACAAACTGCTTCCATGCACTGCTACACCCAAAACAGTTGCCTCAGCACATAACAAACCCTGCTACCTAAATTGCTTATAGTAACTGCACTGCCAGCACTGGTGATCAAGAAAATCCCTATCCTTTTTCTCAAATACAGCCTGAATAACAGTTTTTCCTACAACAGTGAACTAGGGACCAAAACCAAGGTCTAATTATAGCATTTGTAAGACTTATACATATTCCACTTAATTGAATCACACAGCTAACACCAAACTCTCCTATTTATCTTTTTACATAAAATATCATCATTCTCTGCAGTCCATTTACTATAATGCATAATTATTGCTTATTCTATACTTCATATATTTTTGAAATGTCAGTTTTTCCAGTCTACAGAATATGGCTAAATATTGATGCTTTTTTTTTAAATTGAAATCTAACAAGCTAATATAAAGCAGAAAGGTATAGCTCTAATGTTCTCAGTAAAGACAGATGCCAGTACCTCCTTTGCTGTGTAATGTTGGAATACATCTAATTGCTCATGAATATGCAAACTAAACTATCATGATTCTTCACCAAATGCTGCAAGTAATTTTGTCTTGCTACTTGAGATGTCAGAATTATGAGAGGTAGTTTTTAGTTAATATGAAGGGTGAAACAGTACATCATCTTTTATACAGTTCTGAACAAAAGTGTTTGCAGCTGATAATCAGACAGTTCCAGAGAGCTACAGTTTACAGTCAATACGTCACACTGCTCTCCAAAGAGGTGACACTGCTCACACTTCACACAGGACCTGCTTATGCTGAGACTGACATGTTATAAAGGTATATTCTCAGCAGCTTTTTTAGAATAGTGTGGGATTCAAGTGACTGTGGAAGCTCTATGTTCAGATTCTTCGAATTTCAATAAGAGGAATAAAACTTGCTACTAAATCCTACTAAAACCTTAAACTTTTAAACAGTATAGAATCCCTTTAGAGTATTCGAAATGGTGACTAATATTTCAAGGAAAATATTTTATACAAAGAACTAGAATATGTAACATTACCTGTTCCTTAGCCAAATAATCTGCCAGGGTATTCAGGAGCTTGTAATATACCTCAAACCATGGTAGGTAGCTAAAAGAGGAGGAAAAAAGTATTTAAATAAAATACCACTGTATTTTTCCAGTGCTTATAAAATACTACGATGATTGATCTGACTTATACATTTTTAAGACATCTCTATATATAAATAAAAAGCATATTAAACTTTTCCCCAGACATTCAATAGCACATCACTGATAGACAGTATAGATAGATGGTTTCTTTATGTTGGATACTTGCATGAAGTTCCATTAAGCACAGATTAACTCATAATACTTAGACTTCTTAGTATTTTCAAGGCTCCAAAAATATTTGAAACATATTCTAATCTCATTCCCACTATCACTAATTGTTACGGATTTCAGTAGTTATTTGCAATTTTGAAATTCTACATCTTCCTATACCCAGTGGACTGACAGATCTGCTGCTTCCCTGGAGAATGAAAAACAACTTTGTTTAGGCAGACCAGGTACCCTCTATTTGACAAGTAGTGCAATGATGTGCAGTAGTAGAGATGTCACATTACATGTAATAATATTGGTCTCTCTATAAAGTCATTTCCATAGGTAAAATTAACTTCCAAAAATAAAAACATTCACCAATATTGCAAACACATTAATACATCTATACTTAAGAGACTTTTAACACAAGTCTGCAGCCCATGAGCACAATACTCTGAGTTAAACAGAATCCAAGGCAAATAAGACATAACTGAAGAGTATAAGAAAATAAACTCAAACACAGTGCTGAGTTCCAATTTGCCACCTGTTTATAGAAGTTAACAGCGATATCACACGCTACAGAACTTTCCACTATCACTATTTAAGATATTAAGTCTGATAAACTAAATAATAACAATATAAATTATGCCTTATTTACAAGTTACACATCTTATCATGTGTGTTAGAATTTTATCACAATCATTACTGAATAGGTAATATTAGTTGTTTGAGATTAGAAGTGGGAGCTGGAAAGGAAATAGTGCCTGAAAGGTTTTCAGAACATTTCATACCCATATATAACACTGCTACAGACTTCATTCTTCAATGCAGTGTAAATCCACAGACATGCATTTCTTAAAGGCTTTAGTGCATGCTGCAGACAGACCTTAAATTTCAAATGTATATATTCCAGGAAATATGCTAACTGCAGCTGCAAAAACCCGGTATGCAGAACTGAAATGCTTTCCCTGACAGGAAAAGGAAAGCAGTCAGGGGAAACCCTGGCTGGTAGAGAAGCCAAGTACTGCTGTGTGCACTGAGTCCAGCAAAGGGTTATGTTTTCTTTGTAACACCTCTGTTCTCAGTACGCACCTGGCAAGGCTTTAGAAACAGATCCTGATTCTTAGGGTAAAGAAAAAGTACAGCAGAAATCTAAACACAGTTATAGTTAAAGCATTTTCTAGCAATCTTTGCTGTCTTTATAAATGCTTAACTACTGGCTCCTAAAATAACAAAACCAAAACAAAACAAAGGAGAAAAAAAAACCAAAACAACAAAAACCACAAAAATCCATCATGAATTTACTCTTGCCAAGCTAAAGAGACAGAGGCAATGATTTAATGATTTCCTTTAAATCCACCATATTAATGTCTTTATCACATTTTACCATACATTGTGCTGGTTATTAATCAAAACAAGATCAACCTCTTAATGCTCACAGACGTTTTTAATGCTTGGTATTGCTGACAGTGGTTAAGGTGTGACATTATTACATTTGTTTCTCAATATATTCTTAATATAATCATAAAATTTACTTGAGTGCACCTTTGTAAGGCCACTCACTGCTTACAGGTGTGAACATTCCATGCCCTCATAAAACACCCACCATATCAGCACCTAAAACATCTGATTTTTGAGCATTCTTTCACCTACGACTCCTGTTCTATTATCTTCTCAAATCATGCTAACCTGGTTTTACACATTACTGAAACACAGCACAGAGAGGCAAATAGAATTAATTGTTCACTGCAGTGTTCAGAGTTTCTGCAAATGTCAGAGCTGTGAACAGCTTCACAACCCAGAATTACAGCAGGGCCTGCAACACTGTCCTAGCATTTTGTCAAAGTACAAGGTAAGTATAAATCACAAAGTATTTTAATAACACTGCACACACAAATGGGTAAGACTACATAAAGGCTTTCCAGTCTCTTGCTATCACCTCTGTGTTAACAGTATACATGACTCCAGCACATTTTGCTGTAGAATACTCCAAAATCTCATCTGATTATCTATTTTTGATAATGAACATTTAAGAACAGCATTCTATAAAAATAAGTTCTCCTATTTCAGTAAAACATTAAACATACTTCTTTCCTATATGCATGATCTCACCTCCTCTATTACTGAGAAAAGAAAAAGCAAATCCAATTTTTAAGTATTTAAAAAGGTCAAAATAATTATTAGAAATTAATGAACCCTAACAGAAAGTCAAGGGAGATTTTTACTTCATACAGCTGACCAGGCATGCTGAACAGAGTACTTGCATAGAAATTTCTTCCCATAGCAACATCAGGTTGATGATACACTTCCATGTCTTTGTGTAACAAAACCACTAAGAAAAACATCCTACTTGACCACAGTTTATGAAAGTCAGTTTCCCTTATGAGCTGAAAGAATAGTAAAAGAATTGCTTTAAGCCTTATAACCAGAGACACAAGGTTAATATAATTTCAATGTGCCTCTTAAACCCGAAAAATTAAGGAAATCAAAACAAGTACTCCATTACATTATATAGCATGAAACCAAAGGCTGCCAGAACCTGTCCTCTGCTTCTTTTGTTCTTCAATAGTACGGCCTAATTGCAAAAGCTTTTGTCAATATTTCTAATTATAATGTTCTTCAACAAAATATTACAAAGATCTACTGGAAAGCAAAAAAAGTCCCTTTATATTTTTCTTTCATGTATTTGCTAATTATAATTAATTCAGCATAATAAAGAATCATAGTACTTGGGTTTTTTTTCAAAAACAATAAAGACTGTATTTTCATGTATACATATACAATGCATCTCTACATTCATAGGTGAACAGAGTTGTGTTTGTTCATAATAAAGACACCATCAGGTGGTTTTTTAGATTCTCAACTCAAACACCAAGTACAAGCTCTTTTCAATTTGTTAAATCTTCAAGGCAGTCAAGTAACACTTTTGTCCTCTTTTATCATGGGCTAACTTTGGAAGCACATTTGTTAATAATCCTATTAATTGATTTGGGTTACTCCAGGAAACACATTTATTTGTAGATAAACACTAGATGATATAGGCTTAACATCTTTATCAAATATATCATATTGGACAAAGAATTGTATATGGAATAATAGAATCCTGTAGGTTAGAAAAGATCTGTAAGACCATTGAGGCAACCATCAACTCAGCATTGCCACATTTACCACCAAGCCATGGCCCAAACACCACATCTACCTGTCTGTTAAATCCTTCCAGGGATGGTGAACCCACCACCTCCCTGGGCAGCCTGTTCCAGTGCCCAACAACTTTCCATAAAAAAACTTTTCTTAATATCCAATCTAACCCTCCAGTGGTGCAACTTGAGGCCATTTCCTCTTGTCCCATGACTTACTACCCAGGAGAGAGCCCGACACCCCGTACTTGCTACACCCTCCTGCCAGGTGGCTGTAAAGAGCCCTAAGGTCACCCCTGAGCCTCCTTTCCTCCAGGATAAACACCCCCAGCTCTCTCAGCTGCTCCTGATCAGGCCTGTGCTCCAGAACCCTACCCAGCTCTGATATCCTTCTCTGGACCTTCTCCAGCATCTCAATGTCCTTCCTGAAGTGAATGGCCCAAACACAGAGTTTGAGGTGCTGCCTCACCAGTGCCCAGTACAGGGGGACAATCCCTGCCCTGCTCCTGCTGGCCACATTATTGCTGATCCAAGCCAGGATGTCCTTGGCCTTCTTGGCCACCTGTGCCCAGCTGGCTCCTGTTCAGCTGCTCCCAGGTCCTTTTCCATCAGGCAGCTTTCCAGGCACTCTGCCCAGCCTGGAATGCTGTATGGGGCTGTTGTGACGCAAGGACAGTCCCCAGCACTTGGCCTTGGTTGCTTGTTTGACATTTGTTTCTCTGACAGCTAAAATCCAGAAGCATTATGGGTCAAAGGATTTTCTTAGCTTGTCCTGTTAACAAATCTTGCAAAATTATTTAATCTTTGCTAGCACAGTAGAACTAGTGTACAGAAAATTCATCCAGCACACAATGTCCATCAACATCTATTAGCTGGGTAACTTTTTTTTTTCCAAGTCGGTACAGAAATGCATTATCTGGAACACATAGTTTTTAAGTGGCTGAATTTGACAGAGGAGACACATAATATATTACTCCTCCTAACTCAGATATGGCACATTAATATGTACCCTAATGTGTACCTTAATGTGTTAAGGTACACACTGATATGTACCTTAACAACAGATAAAATCAAAATTAAACTCCATTACCAGAAAAACTTTACCACCATACCTGTATTCACAGTATTAATTATGAGCAGTCAGTACATTTCATAATTAATTAGCTGCCTTATGAAAACATCTAAAGGTTATCAATGAAGCCCCTTCACAGCAGAGAAAGTAGAGGAAAGTCAGGGCTGTAGTGTTCAATTTTAATGTATTTGGAAGCCTAAATTAATTTCAGTTCTTAACTTATAAAACCACTACTGGTTTCTTATTTATTTTTCTTTAATTGTAGACACTGTCCTTTCATTCCTCAATTTACAATCAGTACCTGTTTGAAAAACAAACATGTAAGACAAACATAGGACAATTTATCTAAATATTTCTTCCACAATCACAAGAAACATAAAAATACAGACAATATTAATAGATATATATTCCCTGATGGAGATTACAGGGTTTGAGAATACTTTTTATTTAGAAGTACAGCCCCTGTCTGTCACAAAAACAAGAGACCAAGATACTTCATGGTTAATTAAAAACATACTTAGCATTTTCTCTTAATCCAAATGAGCCACAAGGCAGGAGTTCAGACTTGGAATAAAAGTCACGCACAACCCTTGTTGCCATAAGTAGGCTTCCACCTCACCAGTGCTTCTACTACAGCTCTGATAAAACTTTTACATTCATGAGTCAAAGGTTACACAAAGGAGAGGAAATGTTTTCTGTCAAATAGTCAGGTAACCACTAACAGTCCTGAACTATCAGCAGGAATCTAACTTCTAGTAATCAAATAAAACTAAGGAAACTGCCTTTCCGTAGCTAAATGTCTAATGTCTAGGGGCCACTTTTCTGTCTGGAAAATTGACACAAAATGTGTAAAATTGAAACATTCTGCTTCTAAGGGATTTGCCTAAAGGAAGAGTGAAAAAGTTTCAAGCGTGGTCTGAACTGAAGAACTACAAAGCCTTACCACATAAACCTGTCTTCCTTATTAGAGCATTTCATTTGGAAATGCAGGTGACAATTTTACAGTCATAAAATTAATGAAATCTAAGACTGAGCATTTTAATGATGCATTTTGTGTTCCTCTGCATACCTAAGGTCAACCTCAGAGTCCATCAAGAGTTTCAAATTATTTGTACTTTGTACTAAAACCATTCAGGTAATTCAAAATCAATTTCATGTAAACCCAGAAAGTATTATTTCCACTGCAAGCAGCAGTGATACTTAGAAATAAAACTCAGAAGAATTAAATCTACTATTATTCAAAAGCAGACATTCAAGTTTCTACTGTGCCACTTCAAACCTCAACTAGCAAAACTATTACCCCAAAATAGGAAAAGTAAAACTAGGAGAAAAGATCCAGTATAGGATATGAGCTCAACAAGGTATGTTACAATATGCCTGCTGTGCATTCCTTGTCTTACAGGGCTGCATTAGCACAACGGTTTGTGGAGAGGGTTCAGACCAAGAGCTTCACGAAGCAGCCATGCAGCTTAATGAAAAGCATTAAATGAAATAACACTTGCAAAGGAATCACACAGCATTCCTGAGAATAATCCAAGAGTTATTTTCTCATCTTACTATGCTTTAGCACTTTGAATTTGACAACTGCAGTCAAGCTCTGCACATTCGTTCTAGACAATTCAATATCACAATTAAGTTCTTCAAACAAAAATACCTGAGAAAGCTACCTTGGGAAATTTTTATTTCACTTTATAAACATAGAAAGTATTTGAACAATACATTCTGATTTGGAAGAAAATCCTATTTACACAATTCATACATATATAAACGTATATAAAATGCAAAAATACTCCATAAAACTTATAGAGGAATTTTGTATGTACAAATATATTACTGTTTCAAACTATCTAATTTAAAGCAGGAGCATGTGGCTGCAAATTCAGAGATAATTTCCTTTAATTAGTGTTTTAGATGGAGAATGAATTATAGAGAGAAGTCCCATAAACCACAAGACTTTAATCTTACACACATGTGTATCACAGCAATATCATTTTATGTTTCATTTTGATATATGGACAAAAGTGAGGTTGAACATGCATCTACACTCTTTATATATAAAAGATACCTTTTCAAACATTTATTTATTTTGGTTAATTTAAGAACAATAAGCACGTGCAAAGGAGAGGCAGATAAAATGCCCAAAGAAATTTGTTTAGTGAGTCTTCTTTCACTTGGTGACTTCTAATGAATCTTGGGATTCAGAGCACAAACCAGACTGGCTACTAGAACACATCAGATGGAAATAGTGATGCATTCCTTCTGTCTGAGCTGAACACACCACAGCACACACACATATTCTGGAGATAAGCAGAATACCCAGCTACAAGCGCAATGCTATGAAGCTACTGCTGTTATGCATTCAGATGTGCATTGTAAATTTGAAATTGTCACAATAAAAGCAATAAAGGCAATGCTTTGGATACAGTTCAGTGAAAAATTATAGCTTGCCACTTTTCATTTTCCTACTTATTTCTACCAAGTAACAGACCATTGACTAATCTGTAGCTGATGCATGTCCATGGGGAAATGTTAAAAGAAATACCCAGTTTACACCAGCTGAGAATTTACATCCTTTGCTTTGCAGCACTCCATAAAGTACTTAAAGGTACTTGAATGTGCATAACTGATTAAATGTTGTTACAGCCACAAAAACAATGTAAAAAATTTTGTTTCTCTCTTGATGAGGGAAGAAAAGATTAACTCAGAGAAAAGAGCTAAAAGCATAAACATACATTTTCACTCTGGGCTTTAAGAAGTTATATTTTTTAAAAAAAGGCATCACAGAGAAAAGGGTTAAATATTATATATTCTATAAGCCTAAGTATTACTAAAGACATATTTCAAAGATCCCAGAAAGTAAATTCATTTCCAGAATAAAATATTTCCCCTTTACTACTTTAATTATATGGTAGTATTTTTTTCTTTGCAATATTTAGAGCAAACACTTATTTTTAAACTACTTGCCAAAAAAAATCCAGTTTAGTGGCTCTCAACATTAGTTTGGCATCTGTTTAAAAGTTCATTAAAATCTTGATGCGCTCTTTCCAATAATTGTAAGCACTACTCTACAAGCCTCTATATTGGCTGGTCATTTTTCCATCAGTGTCCTGTTACTGGTAACCCTTTTACAAGCTCATGTTGGGTTTTTCTCCCTAACTCATATGGTCTATTCTAATGACACCCTCCAGAACTACCTGATTTCCATGTTGTCCAAATACTTGAGAACCTGCTTTTCTCCACATTCTTCCTACCCTACTCTCCAAAATTCTCTTTCCCCTTTGCTGCCAAGACATTTGGCTCCTCCTCTCTCGTGTTTGTCCAGATTCTCCCTTTTAAAGCAATTTAAATTCAATTTTGGTCTTCCTATTTGCTGTTGAACTGGATATTACCATTTCCTCTGTGGGGTTTGCAGGCTGCTAGACTCTTAATTGAAGTTACACATTTATTTTTTAATGAGATCACTCTGCCTTTAATTTAATTTAAATGGTTTTAGGACAGCTAAACAATTGGGGTTTTTGGTTACCAAAACAATTATCTTAAGAGAGAAGAAAGAAAAAGCAGAGGGAGAAACAAAGGTATTTTTGGGGGTCACTCTCCTCAACATTAGCATCTCTGCAACAACATGCATGCTCTTACACTGTGAATTATCTGGATCTGGTGTTTCTTATACTAGATATAGTCTGGGCAAAGAACTTGGAAGAGACACCCAAAAATCTCCTTTCCAAGGAAAGTAATACAGAATAATGCACTTTATTCTTGAATTGACAGAGTGCTTGTCAAAGATCTGATTAGAAAGTAAAAATATCCACATAACAGTCCAAGTCCTTTAAGGCTGTAATGTATTCTTCTCTGCTTTTAAGCAGATATTCCTGTTATTTAAATAAAATTATTTAGCTTCACAGAAGAGTATCATATGGGGCTTGGGGCCACTTTTTATGTGAAAGCAATGGTAATGCTGCTGTAGTAAAGTTACTTAATCAGGTAAAAATACCTGATTAAGTTGAACCCATCTGCAGAGAATTTGTAAAAGATAGGGTTTTTTTTCTTGTAATTTTATATTCACTTATTGACTCAATTTTTCTTGTACCACCTTACCTTAGAATACAGAGGCAGACCTTGCCTCCTGACGTCAAACGGCAGAATCCAAACCTTTGCTTACTTTCAATGTCGGTGAGCACAAAGGTGAAATGCTGTCCTACTTGGTTTTGGGACACCCTGAAAAGCCAGATACAGAGCATAAAAACATTAAATCACATAAAACACGAGCATTTAAGTCATTGGTCTCAAGTATTTTCATGCTCAATCTTCACTATAATCCTCAATACAATTCTATAGTCTGCTGTTCTTTCCCAATTCTTGCACAATCTTCTACAGCAGAGTATCTAAGAACCTTCTAGTAATAATTAACACCTACCATTTCTGGTTCAATCTCAGATGACCATGCTGAAAATTAGTTCCCAGAGAAGCTTAAAATCATCACAGACCTTAGTCTAGCAGTCAGAGAGCACAAATATTTTTTAAATTTATCCCTTGCAATATGGGGCAGGGGCGGGGGGTTTGCAGTTTTGCTGGTTTGTTTGGGTTTTTTAAATCACCAGCAAAATAAAATATAGAAAATCTCCCTCCTAGGGAAAAAGTAGCAGCTGATCAAAGGGCAAGAGAAGCTACATAGGACACAGGGATTTTATACTGTTTTAACACATGCATGACAAAGATTGAAAGATTAGCTGAGTGGTACCACTACCCAGCCTGCAGTCTCCCACTCTTTTCAGTCTGGTTTAGCCCCTCACGAACATCAAGTGACTTGGATGAGCCAAAAGCCTGTGCTGAGCTTTTAGAAGATACACTTAGTCCAATATAATCACCCATAATTCATGGACTTTTTTCATTAGGTAAAAAACTCAAATCATTAAAAGGAGCACTTTCCCCAGTTGCCTTCGACAGCCTGGAACAATCTATCACTCTCTTTGAACACTCTAAAAAACAAATTCTCAATAGCTTGTTCTCAGCCCCTCCTTGCTCAGGTTCTGGGTAGCTGGGATGCTGCACACTGCACCACAGAGCCATCAATAGCCAGGCCCCACTGCTCCCCTGCCACCCCTGCAGTTTTCTGTGCCACATCTCTGCACTCTGCTCCTTCTGCAGTGACAGACTGCCATGAATGTGTGTGTGGTTCCAGCACCCCTGCACACCCTGGGCTCCCACAGGAACCAGCAGCAGCTCTCAGTGGGAGCACTGGAAATGCTGGGAGCAGGGACCTTGGCTGCTCTGTCCCCAGCCTCTCCCTGCCCAGCCATGTCCCACTCCAAGGCTTGGAGCTTCTTCCAGCAGCCAGGCCTGGCCTCTCCTTACACCAGGGTTAGGCTGGAGGCTCTGTGCACCACCATATTAACCCAAATTGTAATGTACCATGTACATCTATGTCAGGCAAAATGTCGGTATACAGGGCAACTTTAAGAATGAGATTTAAATTCTGATATTTTCTATTAAAAATAGCCCAGCCAAGCTATGAGCTCAGTGGAAGAATTTCTGATGCCATCTCACCACCTCCAAATCGCAATCTCCCCCCTGCTCCTTTAAGAGAGGCAACTCCATGTTTTGACAGTCAGTGTAAAAGTGGCCCGGCTTGAAAACTGCTTCCCACACAGTTTAGGAAGAGATGTGAGCAGCAAGTCCCAGATTTTTAATATCAGAAACACTCCAAAGCTAAATCTGAATTTCCACAAGAACTCAAAAGTTTGCATTTGGTCCTGTTTGCTTCAAAAGAACAGCTAACAGAAGCCAGTGACCGACCATCCATCTGGACTACATTTTCTCTTCAGTTTAAAATACTGAATTAATTCTGGGTTTCTAATTTGAGAGCTCCACTTAAAATGTGGGGGCAGCAAGGATGCCTGTTTTTCTACTCCTCTTCAGCAAAATTAAAACTGACTATATGTAAGCCTTACCATGAAAAACAAATGATAACTGGGGATTTCAATCAATAGATGACCACAATGTATAAACCAGACACATAAAACATGCCACAAGTGCTAGCACTATAGTTTTAACACATATATAGCATGCTCCATCATGCAGACAAACACTGGCCAAGTGACTTGGGGTTTGCATCTCTCTGTTTCACTGCAGCACATTCAGGTTGCTCAGCAATCTCTGCTCCAGAAACAGGCAGCAGCTCCTGGCCCTGCTACCTGGACCACAGCATTGATGCCTCTCAAGTTTTAATTAGCATGAAAATCAGCACAGATAAAATGAAATTATTATTTATCAGAATTCCTTCAACAAAATGTTATCCAGACTTTTTACTGGAGCACAAGATCAAGCAGCCCAGCTGCAAAACCTTTCTGAAGAATGCTGTTCTAGTCTGCTGTTTGAAGAGAGCATGATCTGCCCACTTGCAAGAGGAGAGCAGGCACAAATCGTTCCCAGCCAATGCTGACATTCTCCTCACTCATTCCTCTGCCTTGCTTTTGACTCACTTTCAACTCTTGCCCTGCATGCTTACTTTTAATGTTAGTTCAACAATAATAAATCACTAATAATGAAGAATGTGTGTAAATACTTATTAACCCTGCAGACAACAATGGGCTCTTTCAAGGTTATTACAGTTTAATATAGAAATAAAAATAGGTTTTAAAATTTTCTGTGTACCTACACAATGCAGAAAAGGCTCTTTAGTACCCATGGAGTAGGTAAAGAGTAATTTTAAAGGTTTTTGTTTACACTGTGGCCATAGCTCAGGCCTCAGTTTAAGGGAGCCTTGAGAGAGTTGATTAAGGCAGGAACTGAATCTCCTTCAAACAAAAAGAGCATATCTACCTTTGCTCTCTATAAAAACTGCTCTTCTTCCAAAATATTTTGTTTAGGATAGAGCAGATGTTTGAACTTACTTTTTTCTTCAAATTTCAGAATTTTTTGAAAAGTTTCAAAAAATTGAAGAACTTATAAGTGGGAATAGAGATTTCTGTTTTCTTTTAAAAATACATCATAATATTATTATTACTTATAAAATACCACATACATGCCCTTGACCAATGTAACTAACATACACAGGTCTCACTCAAGCTTGGTAGCTGCTACTTAAACCTGAAAGCTTCGCATGTATTACAACTCCCAAACTGATAGGGAAAACCAAACCCATCAGTCACCAGTCACCCTAATTTCCCCCAAAGCAAGGAACAGAATAGAAATTGTTTGCAGCAGGAATTTGAAAACCAGATGTTAAGGTGATGCTATAAGATGATGGAGAGACTGGGGAGACAGTAACACTAGGTTGGGCATTCTCCTTCAGCTAATTGCTATCCCCTAATCTAAGCTTCAGGCACTATTTTCTTCACTTACAGGCACACGCCAGGATCCACAAGTCCACAGCTCAGGCTCCCTGTGTGAAGAGCTCCTCTGTTTCAACCAGATTGAGCTCTGCCTCCCAAAAAAATTCACCTCTTTACAATTCAGAAAAAGAAAAAAAAAGAACAGGAGAAAAACTGCAGAAGATATGAAAATGGACAATGCCACCACCAAGTAAGAAAATTCCCACAAATAAAAAGCACAGTTAGCTTATTAATGGGGTTATATTTTCAAAACAACAGAAGCATTAAAAGAAACCACAACTACTGGGTAAAGAGTCTCACTGGGAGTATTTAAGTTGCAACAGAAGCCTGTCTAGAAGCTCTGTCTCAGGGCCCTGGCCATCACACCTGGCCAAGGGTCTAAGGGAGCACACAGCAGCTCCCTTGGCATTCCCAGGTTTCCTCTCAGACAGGTGCACTTCTGCACACACACAGAAACCAAACAAGCCCTGTTTGAAATCAATAGTCACACTCTTCACAACACACACTGCAGCCTGTCCTTACACCTGTCTCTCACACACACATTCACTATTATACAAACATGTGCCATAATGCAGGGAGGTCACAAGAGGCAAGGAACTCAGTTGTGTGTAACTGCTTCTACATTTCTGAGTTTGCAACCCCCCCTTGCAAACTGACTGCTGTGCCTGAAGGGTACAGGAATTGCTACAGTTCATTTACCTTCATACAACTGGAAGTACTTTCTTGATTCCTTACTTTTCATTCTCAACTATTTACTATGAAGGCAAAATTTTTGTGTAAGGTATCTTTTACAAGATCCAATTATATCAAGGCATTGTTTTGCACTTTGCTTGATGATAGCTGTGTTTCTGCACAGCCTTTTAGCACAAATATCAACAGAAATAGTATTAGCCAGGAACAGGAGAGTGACAGTGATGTCATTCCTGCTATCATTACTCACTCACGCTAAAAGATGATGAGGTAAATAACCTGCATGGTAATTCCCATACTCGAGTGACATTCTGCTGCTAAGGAGAAATTCTCTACAGCAGCACTATTGATTATTCTCCAAAATCCAACCCTTCCCAGGGTGTGGGTGAGCACCATGAGGGAATTAATGAGGTACACGTCACTGTCTCCATGCTGATCCTATAGGCAGTTCCCAAAAGAGTATCTAAAAGAGGCTTGTGTGCTTCACATTCAGCAGGAGAAATGCATCCTGAAAGGGAAAGATTGAGGAATGAAAGCACCAAGGGAAGTACTAATGGTGGAGAGAAATGACAGAGACTCAAAGCACAGATAACAATGAAGGGTCAAGCAGTGACGTAACACAACCTGAGACTGAACCTGAAATGGCTCCAAAAGGAACGAGAGAAGTTGCATCCTCACCAGCCATCACCCAGCTACATAACTGAGAAACGTGGAGATTGAGGTATGGACTCTGCAAACTTACACCTCAGCTCTGGCTTGAAAGGGAAAATAAAAAAGACTGCTGGAGAAACAAAAGTGAAGCAAACCATGCAGGCTTTGCACAGAGGATTCAAGCAACAAGAGGTGTGGACAAAATGGTTTTGTCTGAAGCATTAATATTACTTTAGCAAACGTTCAAAGGAAGTTAAAATCTCTGTCCTCAAATGTTAAAGCCTCCAAGACCATACAAAAAGAAACAAACTGACTACCAAAGAAAAGAGTCTTTCTTTGTAAATATATACATGCAAACTGTTGGAATGTTATACAATTGTCCCATTATTAAATGTAAAATAATTTATTCACATAAAGAGACATAGGTACTCGAAGCAAATACTCAAGAACTTCTACGATGTAATTAACCTCTTAATCCCTTTAAAATAAAATTTAAACCATAACTAGAAATAATAAAATTATGTGTTTGTTTTCAATAAAAAAATTTATATAAAACTCGAAGTTTAAGTCATGGTAAAAGAATTTTTTTTTACACTATTGTGCCTCTTTAGGCTTGACTTTCAGTTTGAATTTAATGGGAGTTACCTCTACATTTTTAATTACCATTCACAGTATGCACTTTTGATAATTAGAACGAGTAGCATACACTTATTTATAACATCTACATAAAGTATGCCTGGTGAGATGATACAAGCAGCATCAAATAGTGAGAACTAATTCTGGATCTCTATGATTACTGCAGGATAGTGGATAAAAGAAAATCAAATATATGTTCTCATTTCTTTCCTTTTTCAATTCCTTAAGTAATTAATAGAGGTGACTTGAAAGAAAACAGGTGACAAGGATCTACTGGTACTTTAACTTTGCTTTCTCCATAATTTGAAGAACATAAATTTCCTGCTTTAATTAGTTTTATTTAGCTAGATAACAGTATTAGTACTCCATTATCTATAACTATGCTATGTAGTAGAAACCCAGAAGCCATCTATAAAACAGTCACATTTTTTGTTTTAAGTATCTTGGTCAGCAGAATCAGTGGAAATTGCTACTTTTGCCCTAGTAATTTCTAGCTCTTAATAGGCTCAGACAATGCTTGAAGTATTTTATATACATAAATATACATATACTACACAGATGTATATACATACATATGTTACAGGTTGAGAAGCTATGCTCTCTGTGGTACAACATGCTCAATGAATGAAATAGATATTTTCTATTTCAGTTCAAATGTTTCTGTACAGAAACTGTCATTGAAACTGCCTGTAAAATATTTGAGAGTATTAGGTATACCATCTATTATGATCCTATATACAAGAGGAAAACTCTATATATTCATCAGACAAGGGAAAGCACATATATGGCTAGACAAACGCTAAAATGATTGTAACATCTTAAATGTTGAAAAAAGCCCTATAAAAAGGAACTTCAGCAGTGTTTTTTTCAATCCTTTTCTTTATCACTCCAAAATAAAAACAATTAAACTGAGAAAGCAGAACAAAACAGGTTTTGTTTAAAACAATTGGTGTGTCCACACCATAGAAAATGGCAAGCACATCATGCAGCCAGTAAGTTGCTCACACAAAAAACTCGCCAGTAACAGTGGCCACGCTCCTGAATGAGCTCCCAGCATCTCTGTCCTTTGCTCCACTCTAGCTGTGCCCCTCGTGCCCGTGCTGTCACAGTGCCATGATCCCACACTGCCTTTGGCTCCCCCCAATCCCCCAGAGCTCGGCTCCCAGCCCTGCACAGCTGCAAGTGCGGGGCTGCTCTGAAGACACGGCGGCATTGCCTGAGCAGCTTCACTCCTGTCAGCACAACCCCAGCTCCCAGGAACCTCCACTCCCGTCCAGCTGACAAGTTTTATGGAATTTGTAGAAATTTTGCACCTTGCAGAACACTGCTTTACAGTCAAGCATGAGGCCAGTAGTCAAAAAGCATCTCTGGGGAGAGGGCACAGGGGGTGTTAACAAACAAACACCAAACTTCCTTTAACTTATTCCTTTTTTGTCCCTTTTCCTTTGTTTTTTACCCCTTCAGATAATCAGCTAAAATACATAATTAGATGTGCTATAAATTCAACTATTCCCACAGTTTATTAAGTTCATCCTCCTCATACAAGCAGCTAAGTGCCTTCTGAATGGTTCAAGAGAAATACTTAAGGTAAGACAACTTATTTGAAAATAATTATTCACTGCCACTATCTTCTTGCCACTGGATGGCAGCAACAGAACCTCACCTTTTTCTGTTATCCTCAAATTTTATTTCCATTATCCATCTTCATTACCAATTTTAACAGAATTCTGTACATATCTTAAGCACATTAAAGACTTTAATGCTTTAAAGCCAACACTGACAACCACATTAGTTACGTCATTAAAACAGCTTAAAGGACAGAGGGCTTAACCAGTTCAAAACCCAAACAACTTAATTAAATTCAGCTATAAAAGACTAAATAAGCCTAGTTTACTTCAAGGAAGCTGTATTTATAAAGATCTTTATTATGCCAGTGTACTTTGCTGCAAAGACTCTTCTTTCCTCTCTACACACACCAGCTTTTCCTCCACTGACTGCAGCTTCTTCCATCTGATAGATGCTTCTCATCTCCAGCTCACCATCTACAACTGATACCCATGTTGTTCTGAAATTGGCTCAGCCTGCACATTACCTGAGTGTATCTTTCATTAATTATGCAAATCAAGCTTTTAATTCAATCTTTGCCAGTTCGGACAATACGGATTTTCCAAACCGAGTGAGTTCAATGTATTAAATAAAATACAATTAATCATTTTGACAAGCCCAAATAAATATTTTCAGTAATAAAATCATTTTATATGAACAATTTAAATGATTGGCAGCGTTACATGGAAGCCAGACTATAACTGATACCAGAAAGGTAAGGACTAATTAATTATAAATAATGGTCTTGATTCTTCTCTGAGAAAAATCAATTGCATATTCAGCTACTTCCATGTAATTAAAGTCTTAATTTCTTTGAACTCAAACAACACGTTTTCTGTACTGCTCAGTGAGTTTTTATATCCTAGTGCACCGTAACATTTTTAATGAAGCTTGCTGCTTAAGGAAACTGTATAATATCCTTATACTAACACAGATGGTGTTCACCATTACAATGGACAAAACTGGGAGCTGGAATGTAGCTCTACCTGGACAGAGATATTCCTAAAATTCTGTAAGGATTACATTTTGCTGTGATAGTTTCCTACTAGTGACTTCATACTTCCTTGAACAAGGGGTATGTTTTCTCATCTGCAGGTGCAAGTTTAGGGAGTATATTACATTTGTCTTTTCTTTAAATCTTTGCTTGTAACTATGCTAAAAATAACTTTCTATGAAACATTTTAAAATAAATGATAACTGTAGCACATACCTTTCAACGTCAAAAGGAAAGCAGAACTTTGGAACGCTGTTCAGCACTTCCTGAAAATACAAGCAACAGAAATGAAGTTAGGGGTTTTTTGAAAAGGCATTTGAAAGGTTTGATTTTTTAAAAACGGCCAAAAATATTCATAACAAATAGTAAGTTCAAGGAATATATGATTACAAAAAATACAGCACACGTTCCTGGACTAAAATAATTGATTATTAAAAAGGAATTAGGTTTGTGCTTTGGCAGATTGCAAAGACAATGCCATAGAAGCCCCAGGAGGGAAAGGCCTGGCCTGAAGGGTATTAACACCCTTCACATCCCCGCTGGGATTCCCTTCAACAAGGCCATATGGATTTTACAAGAAGCACCACACCATATGGGTAAGCCACGTCTGCTGCTACTTGTACCACAGACTAGCCACAGGGACTTCTGACAGATCCTGGCTCAAAAATACAAATGTTGTTTCAATTAAAATGCAGGCAGAGAAAAGGGAATGAAGTTGGCAGCAGAATGAATTACAGAGAGGTATAACAACTCTATACATGTTCCATAGTCAAATGCTGAAAATGATGGAAATCGCCTACTGGTCCAAAGCAGAAATTTATATGATTAACCCTTTGGGTTTCACAAGCAAGCTTTGCTATTAATAAAGGAAGAGGGGGGGAGAATCCACCAGATCTACATTCATACTACAGTATGAAAGGATAATGTCTCTCTTTCGTGCAGAATTTTATTTAAGAAGCTGTTTAGTGGCAAATAAAATGTGTTAATTAAAATATAAAAATGCTCTCAAACTAGTCAACATTTTTCTTTTAAAAAAAAAAAAAAAAGTGAATTACCAGATCATTTAGCAGCAAATATTAAACAACGACTTCACAAGAGCCTAGAAAATAGGTTTTATTTCCTTGCTCCCAACTGGGAAAACAAACCCCCTGTGAAATGCTTCAGCAAGAAGAGACAGTTGACATCAATGCAGTTGGTCAAAGCTGCAGAATTCCTTTTTTGTAGCAGCCCAGCAGACCTGTATTTCTGTATACATGAGCTGGCCCACAAGGTTTGTTTTCAGAAAAGAGCACATTGATTACAAATTTCCAGGGCTGCACATGAAGGTTTAAGAAGCTGACTTAAGGTGTTAGCACTCTGCAGCCTGAACATCCTGTTTACTGCATGTTGGACAGTCAGCTCCCGTTAGGGGACATTGTGCATTTAAATTCCTACACACTACAATGACTATTTACTTCAAACATTCACCAGGCTCAGTGGATAGTGTAAAATATAAAGAGCCCACACAAGTTAATCAGCAAGAGAGGAATAGTTCAGGAAGAAGATGCCTGTAACTACAACATGTTTATGTTGGCTGCAATATTTCAAGGGTATATGATGTGCCTCAGTAAATCTTCATGTGATACAAAATCAGGAAGTCAATGTTTTTAAAATTTCCAAGTCACACAAGAGATTTCAAGAAATCTTTAGAACTTTTACTTTGTTAGCACAGTGTATGAAAGCCACAGCTGTGTTTTGGGGAAGGTTAACTCCATTAAGAACAACAGCAGCACATAGAATACTCTTCAAAAGGAACTGCTCAAGCACCATCCTGCCTGCTCTGAATGCCCACTGCAGAAGAGTGAGAAGCAAAATATAAACAGTGCAGGTAAGCATTTGATTTCTGCAGTCAGGAACAAGCACACACAGTGCTGGTAGTAACAAAAATAAACTCTAACAAAAGAGAGCAAACTGAACAGGCTAATCAAAACTTGTAATTCAGAAATTTCCTAAACATTTCCAAATAGTCTTTCACTTCAGGCTCATAAAGCTTGTTTTTCCTGTTACAAAGAAATAGTATTTTATCCTTTTTCTAAATCTGCACCTATTCTCACACTATAGGAAGTAATTTTTCTCCTCACTAACAAGGATTTTAATTGCTGCCTGGTGAGCTTAGCACTGACTCAGAATTGGGTATGGAAATGTATTCATTTATGTTCCCCATTGTATTGTCTCAGAATAAATTATCGCGCGAGGAAAAGAAAACAAAAACAAAAAAACCAAAGGTATTAGCTCAATATTTTGACTCAAGAACCTGGAAATGAGGGGTGTGTTTGCAGCGTTTCCCGGCCGAGCGACAGCCCGGCGCTGCCTCCCCGGGCACACACGTGCGCTCAACTTCTGCGGAGCGGCCTCCGCCCGCTTCCCAACTGGCAGCGGCATCCCTCGGGGGACGCGTCTTTAAACCTCCGCACTCTTTAAAATTCAACCAGCCAGCAGGTCTATAGACTGCTGGATAAACACTATAGACACACACACACACAAAAAAATCTTCTCTCAGCTTATGTCAGTGACAAAGCAGCTCAGCAGTTGAGTGCTTCTCCCCTGACAGCGTAAGCTGGGTTTACACAGATCAATAGATGGAAGTCCTACCTAGCTTCCAGGGCTCAGTCTTCTCCCTTAATTACAGGTGCTATTCAGATTTTTAAAATGGAAGAAAACAAGATGCCCCCAAGATACTCCTAGATGAATTTAAAATGCAAATTGTATTATTCAGACATTCACATTTGTGTACATATTTGTGTACAATTACAGTTGGTACTTGCAGCAATCTCTCTATTCGATAAAATTGGAGCTCTGTCTCCTAACGGGTCATCATTTTCGAGGTTCCCTAACCAGCCAGGACTTCCTCCTGAGTCAACATACACACTCCCCCCAGAAAAAGAATAACGTTACTTGTTGTCTTTTGTATGCACGACTTAATAAAATTATGTATTTTTTTCTGAAGGCAAAACGTTGTACAGGTCTTCAGAAAGCAAAATAGTTTGATTCACGTGTCCCATGATTATTTTCTCCACTGGTTCTCACACTGTTAGTGCTCTCAGAAATGGTCCTTGTGTCATAAACAAGGTTTATANCGTGTCCCATGATTATTTTCTCCACTGGTTCTCACACTGTTAGTGCTCTCAGAAATGGTCCTTGTGTCATAAACAAGGTTTATACAGGGCGAAGAACTTACTTTCTTAAAAAAAAAAAAAAAAAAGAAAAAATCCACACAAGTAAAGAATTTTCTATTTGCTTTAAACACTGCCTAAATATCTACAGGTGCATATAAAACTGTGTTTAATTTTTAAGTTAAAGGATAACTATTTCATTCCTCATGCAAACTCAAAGAGAAAGATGAAAATCATAAAATTAATACTATGTAAACTGTGACATGCTGTTTCCCTTGAAAAAACTTAAAGACAGAAATGGTATTGACAAAAATATTTCCCTTCTATCAACAGCACAGCAGCAGAAGCCTGCACTCTCACAGGCTCATGGTGCAATAGTTTATTAATTCCCTCTCATCAGTTGCACTGTCCAACTCCAGCCTGGCCTGGCCATGCTCACTGGCTCTACAATGGGAGGGTATTACAGAAGCCTGAAAGGTAAGAATTATTTAGCATTCCTTGCTTGTTTTGGCACCCACTCAGCTAATTCTGTGCATCAGCATGTTATAAAGCAATGTCAACAGTGGTAGAAAATGCTGCTGAATGCACAGATGCCATCTTTGTGGGAAAAAAGGGTCCTGATAACTTCCTAGTCTGGAAAGAAACATGGGCAGTAGTTAACTTCCATCAGTTTCACCTTCAGGTATTTCAGATTTTCCTCTAGGTCTAAAGACAAATTATGAAGAATTCCCTGAAACTGTTTTACAGAAAAATTAATACCTAATAGCAATTACTAATTGGCTTGCTAGTCACATCCACGGGGCAGTCCCACAGAAGTCCCGTGCACATCACACCGTGTCATTTGCAGTGTGACACCACAGGATGGGTGTAACACAACTGTGTGACGTGGGACTCTCTGTGCTGTGTGGGTGACAAAACACAGAGCTGTAGATGTGCCCTCTAAGCTCCACCTGCTGCAACACTTCTGTCCACAGAAGACAGAAAATTTTGCAATCGCATCTCCCTAAAAATAGACCTGCTCTTTTCAGCTAACAATTTTCACACTAACTTGCAGATAGTGCTGCGTTTCTTGACAGCTCTTTCTATCCCAATACAGCTGCCACACAACACTTCATACATCCCTGACAAACATGCAAAGAGGAAGGAGATTCTGGACCACATTGCAGAAGTTGTCACTAATGGATTCAAGCAAGATTAAAATTCCACTAAACTGAGCTACATGTACATTTCTACAACCGCAGATTGTTTTGACCCACAGAACAAATTCCACTCCACTGCTGAGAACCATTGTTATGCTCGTTTAGTTGGCTAACATGTATACCACAACTGGAAAGGCCCTACATCCTAATGACTGACGTTCAGAGGAATCGGGTTGCTCATAATGCTTCAGCACAGAGCCTTTTAGAATACTTGCTCTCTAAAAGGTGTTTGCATCTTTCAAAAGCTTATTCAGAGAAACATTCGTTGTCTAAAATGAATGAGGAGCTGAATACCTGCGAAGGAGGATGAGATTACTTACAGAATTTCAGTTAGATTTAATTTCTCTTCCTCTGCTTCCTGTCTCTTCCACCTGACCACCGTTCTGTTAGGTGCCTCAGGAAAAGATGTCAGACAGGCAGCTGAAGATTTTTAGTAGCTTAGTCTGGTGACTTGGTGCTCTACACAGCAACAAGGGCACAGACAGATGAGGTAGCAGGACAGGAAGACTTTAGACAGCAAGGTAATGGGATGAGTTTGGTATCTTAGAGAAGCAAAAATGACATCAACAAGTAACTCTCGTAGAGGTGGCACTGGAGGCCCAAAGGCCAGCTGTACCTGTGGCTGAACCTGGACGTGATTGTTGCAGCATCACTTGGAACCAACAGCATATTAAATACACACAAAAAGAAATGAGAAAAACATTAAGGACCAGAACAGTGAAGGACCAGGGTGTGTGTGGTGCACTCCAACTGGAGATATGCTGCAGTGCTACAGGATGCTCTTGCCCTGCAGAGCAGACTAAGGCTGGTGGCCCAGGCAGCACATCCTACTGCTTTCACAGGAGCTTTCAAAGGCACTTCACAAGGAAAGCTAATCCTGCATGACTAATCTCACTGTCCTATAAGACTGAGGAA